AAAAAAAAAGACAAATTCTGCCCAGAAAAAAAAACATACGTTGGCCATACCAATAGAGAAAACTGTGTTTTAGCTTATAGTTATATAATTGTTAGCCAACAGATAATGTTACAAATGACATGACGCTATATGTATGACAATGTCAGCCGAAAGTTTACATTTTTGGATTTACTGACTTTTTAACCTAAATATAAAAAAATATGGTTTATCAGTCAAGATACAAATGTTTGACATAAAAATCTGTATTTTTTTTATTTTTTTTGTTTCACTGAAATTTGTATTCTACAGCATAACGTAATGTTTTACATTCAAACAGTCGTTATGGAAAAGTGTTCAAGTTGTAAAAAAAAAAAAAAAACATTGAAAAATTGCATCTTTTTTTTTGTGTTTTGTTTTTGTGATTTTTTAATAAATCATTGTTAACCCGTGTTTTGTTGCTTCGCAGGTCGGTCAGTCTGGACAAGTGTCGAGACAGTTTAGTGATCCTGGGTCCTGTAGAAACCAGCGTCCACATCCACAGCTGCCAGAATGTACGTATAGTGTGTGTGGCTCGGAGGATCATTATTGGAGCTTCCTCCCGTTGCACCATCCATTCTTTGACTCCCACCCGTCCTCTGCTCCTCCCTGGAAACTCGGACATCGTTCTCGGACCCTTCCACACCTTTTACCCCTCTCTTGAGGATCATATGGCCAGTGTGGGTCTGGCAGTTGTTCCAAACCTCTGGGACCAGCCCTTGCTCCTGGGAACTGAGGGCCTCATCCACTCTTCCCCCAACACGCCGTCTAATCCAGACTTTGCCTGCTTCCGTCTGCTGCTACCAGCAGAGTTTAACTCACTGGTCATTCCGTTCCAAATGGAGGGAGACACATGTGAAGTGCCTGGGGGGCTGCCAGCTCCTTATCAGGCAACACTTGAGGAAAAACAGAAGAAGATTCAGAGCTGGCAAAAGACGGTGATGGAGGCTCGACTGAACAAGTGAGTGACTCCTAAAATACTAAAGGTTGCATGACAATGGTATTTCTGTTGTATTTTATTTTTTTAATCCGATCTTGCAAAAATTTTCGCTATATTACGAAACATAGCAAATAAAAAAGACATTATACAAAAATTATACATATGAAAGTTTTGGCTTCAAAAATGTTGACTCTCGTTTTGAAATTGAGATTTGCGATCGATCGCTAGTAGCTTCTTACCTAGACGAGATCGTACATAGCATACTACTGACTAATACAATGCGTACTTGGTGTACTATCGGCTACTTGAGCACGCTCTTCTGTTCCTCACGCTGATTGGCTCATGCATCGTAGCATCTCCCCTTTTCTGTCGGCCACTCTCTCATTCACTACGCTCTGTGGCGCCGTTATACAACTGGGGGGGGGGGAGGTTTGAAAGGGTAAATATAGATGTAAACAATGTAAAAACTATCTCGCCTCTACGTTTTTGTTTTTTTTTTATTTGTTTTTTCCCCATTTTGCGGTGGGTCTTGGGACGTACTATTTTTCCCCATTTTGCGGTGGGTCTTGGGACGTGATAGGAGAGGGACCGCTGTACTATTTTGAGTAGTAGTACTAGTCCATTTTAGTGCCATGTCGCAGTAAAGCAAGTGTTAGAAATGTTATATCATAGTAAAATAAAAAAGTCATCTTAAATATGCCAAAGTCATGGTGAAGTGAGGTCTCAACAACGGGCCAGAAACAACATATCATGTGTCTTGATTATGATGATTTTATCAATTGTTGTTTATAACATTTTTAACCTTCCTATTATTTACCAGTCAGTTTGACCAATTTCAATTTTTGTGTGGACCGAAGTACTGGTTATCACTTCTATTTCTTCATGAAGGTTTGTGACGAACAGGTGTGTAAAATACACATTTAATTCCAGCACTATATTTAAGAACTGTTCAGTAATAGTGATTCTCCAACCAACAGAAAAGGGCGTGCCTTTAACCTACATTGTTTTCATGATATTTGGCTCTTTAAACATTTTGTAGAGTAAGTTTTGTTTTTTTTCCTACTTTATTGAATGATGTTAAACGGACCTTGTCATCGTGATTCCTTTCCTTCTCTGACATATTTTCCTTCTCTCTTTTTCACATCGGTCATCGTGGTGTTTTTTTTTCCCCTTGCTCCATGAAAAAATATTTTTCAACAAAATAAGTTCTAATAAAAGTTTTGTGTGTCCACTTTGTCCTGCAGGGATCAGAAGCAGCAGTTTGAGGAGCTGGTGACGCTGAAGTTTCACGAGTGGCTGCTGAAGAGCGGAAACAGAAAAGAGATAGACAGTCTGATTCCTCCACAGTTGACATCGGTACGTGAACCCAACAGTCCTGCAGTTGACACACTGTGAAACAGCGGCACCAAACACACCCACAGGAGGTTCGCTGAAGTCGTTTGGCGTCGGTCCATGTCACTGTTTTTTTCAGTACTGTGATTCTGTCCGATGAGGAGTTGCTGATTGCTGATGCTGCTCTGTGCTGTGTTACATAAATGATAATGGGCAGCTAATTGTTCCAAATGAACAGGAGGGAATGGGCGAACAAGTCACGAACACAGGGTTTACCATTGAAACCATTAGTAATAATGCTGTTAATGAAGGAAGTATTTGGGGGGAAAAAAACAGTTTCAGGTCTCACTTTGTAAAGGAACTGAAACAGTATACATAGGAACATGGTCTCCAGAACAGGTGTTTGTATCATAGAGGAAATTTAGGTGTTAACCGCATAAAAACCCAGACGCTGGTGTGCCTCCTGTGGTCATTTTGTGACGCTGACTTCAATTGTTTAAAAAAAAGATGTAGAAAACGTAGAATTCATGAAATATTGAAGAGACTTAACTGGTGGAACAATCAATTGATCGACAACACTTGTATGCTGTGATGGAAATGTAGAGACTTTCGTATGAGAATTAATTTAAAAAGTCAACAAGCAAAACCTTTCTTTCCCTGTAATATCTACGTTACTACGGTAAGGATATTTTCTAAATACCACTGTGTCCTGCACTAACTTAGTTATGGGTAAACACATTATAAGAGCAGATATATAAAAAAATGAATACTTTTTTAATTAGTTTACAGTAGATTTTTAGACAAGGAATGTAAATGTTAAATGAAATTAGCACTTTGATTAGGTCATAGCTCAGGAGAGTCATTTTTAACCAAATATGTTTTCTTTTGACAGTAGTATTAGTTTGTGCCAATGTACCCAGAATGTTAACAGTGGCTGCGCTGATGTATGTTTATTTTTTATACTACTCACATGTATTATAATAGTTATATGTATTATAGAGTGAACTAAGGACTATTTTTTCATTTATTTTCCCTGGCTCTAAACATTAATTTCACTTGCGCTTGTGATTAATTGTAATTTAATTGGTGAGAGGATTTAAAAAAAATTTTTTTTTTCTCAAGTAAAAAATGAGAAATGAACTGTAACCGTTAAAGATTAAAGGGACATGTACTGTGAGGAAATTTCCTTGTTAGGCGGATTTCCATCTGTGACGTTAGTTGATAAATCACAGTTGTGATGGCGAAAAAAAAAATAAAGATTTTGACAATTTAATTTATTGGGTGGAATATTACGGTATTATGTTATCGGTTTTTTTGGATTTGGTGGTAAGCTAATAACACAAGTTCATGTAGTTAATGTACGGGCGATGTTTGCCTTGTTAAATGCCATCCGGAAATAAAGATGACATTCACAAACAAAAAGTAAAGTATTAACATGTTAGCGTCTAATCCAGGACTACTATACATATGCCTTACTATAGCCTTACCGTCG